GTGGAATTATGAGATGGAGGAAAGGTTCGTGGAGCTGTGGCAACAGTACTCCTGCCTGTATGATGTGTCATCGAGGGCCTACCACGACAGAACAAAGAAAGAAAAATGGTGGCGAATTATAGCGGAAGTGCTTCAGCAATTTTTACACTCTTGTTTTCGGAAGTCAGTCGCTAGTTCCACCTTCTCGATGACATCACGCGCGTCGTAAAAGAAGGCACGAGATGAATGGTCGGGAAGCAATGTGTAGTCTGACATGTTTCTTGTCCACGACACGACAAGATTTTAGGAGTCAAAATCGTGTAATCTGACACAGTGACTATCGTGACCTACAAAAATATTGTGAAGTCTGAATTGGCAGTGCTTCATAGCATGCGTTTGCGTTTTCATGTGGATGGAGATTTTTTTTAAAACGGAAGAAGGAAGAATACCCGTGTACATGTGGACGTGGCCTTAAATTATTACAATAGCTTTCTCCCCATCCTGGCACAAACGGCTCTATTAGTTCCAGGTTTGATGAAGGCCCGCCTTCTGAAAAATTAAATGTGTTGTGATTGGTTAGCTGTCCCAGTGTGTTGTGATTGGCTAACAGCTTAGATGGTGTAAAGTTACTGCCCCGCCCCTTGCCAAAGCAGCAAGTTCTTCTGTATAGTTAAGGATGGCGTCAGTATTGCCATATCAATTTGAGCCGGATTCAGACCCAGAGAATATTGAACAAGAGGATCGCTCAGAACCTTTGCACGCACGGATATTGCAAGACATATTGGAGTGGTAACAACTCTTAAAAATAACTGCATTTACTATGTACAGTGTAGCGTCTTGACCAATCAAACACACAATATATATTTTGTTAGCTATATTTAACAAATACTCTGTAACACCCCTCAGTTAACAAGCCATACGAGGACCTATGGACCCTTCCCCCGAAATGCGTAACACCCCAGGAAGCCGAACAGGCCCCTGGTCCCCATGGCAACCATGACACCTCTGCTAGACCAGATCCATTTACGACCTAATGGCATGTTGAGAATTACCCCCCCCAGTATTTCCAACCTCCCGCTTGGGACGTCAGCCTTTCTCATTGTACAAGCCATCTTGAGAGGCGTGAAACTTCTCCGACCTTAAAGGCCTCACACCAGGGACCCACCCAAAGTTGGTGGTTTGGTTGAATTCTGAGAAGATGAAAATGTGAGCTACAACGCTCCAGGACAT